GAAGAAGGGGTGTACAGTCTGCTGATCAAATTTGCAGACGATACTAAAACTGAAGCAGTGGCCACAACTGAGGAGCAGGTACTCCAGATCCAAAAGGATCTGGACAGACTATGGAAGTGGGCAGGAGACAACAGGATGGCATTCACTGTGGATAAGTGCAAGGTCTTGCACTTGGGGCATAGGAATAGCTGTCATAAGTACAGGTTAGGTGACAAGTGGCTGGAGAGCAGCACTTGTGAAAGGGACCTCGGGGTACTGGTTGACTGCAGGCTGAACATGAGTCAGCAGTGTGATGTGGTGGCCAAGAGGGCAAACACCACCCTTGGTTGCATAGCCAGAAGTGTGGCTTCTAGATCAAGAGAAGTATTTCTACCACTCTACACGACTCTGGTGCGCCCGCAACTGAAATATTGTGCTCAGTTTTGGGCCCCTCATTTCAGAAAGGATATAGCCAGGTTAGAGTCAGTGCAGCATAGGGCCAGAAGGTTGGTGGCTGGTTTGCAGGGGATGGGGTATGAGGCGAGACTGAGGGAACTGGGTCTCTTCAGCCTGGAGAAGAGGAGACTCAGAGGGGATCTGTTGGCGACATACAGGTATGTGAGGGGATGTCACATAGAGGTGGGCAGAGACCTGTTCTCCCCTGCAGAGGAAGGTAGGACGTACTCCAATGGAGCAAAGCTCAGGGGACCCAGGTTCCATTTGGACATTTGGATGCCAGGAAGCACTTCCTGACAGTTAGGACCCCGAGGGTGTGGAATGGGCTTCCACGAGAGGTCGTTGAGGCCCCATCGGTGCGGGTGTTCAAGGATAGGCTGGACTTGCACATGGTGGGCATGTCGTGAACGGAGCCGGCTGGTGCCATAGGTCAGACTAGATGGCCCAGGAGGCCCCTTCTGACTCACTCTTTTTCTATGTTTCTATGTTAACTACCCAGAGAGGTCAGTATATTGGTGGTATATAAATGAAGTCTTAATCATAGTAACCCTGACACAGAGCATCTTGCACAAAGTTTGATAAAATGCTTTTAAACTTTGCTTAAATAGTTTATTATATGATCACATCATAAGCAGTTACCTGTGGAAGAAGGTGGTATACTTTATGTTTTTATTCCTTTCACTGGAAGCAAAGTAGATGGTTTTTAGAGTTTTTGGTACCTGTGTGTCCCAGAAAAACTCTCTGTTGCCCTCTTTTCTCTTAACAATCCTTTTCTTCTACAATGGTTTAATCAGTGTCTTTCTCTCTCCATCAGATGTCCCGGATATTGACCAATAGTTGCTTTGTTGGGTGTATCTTTAATATGGCAGTTAATACAGTTATTTTCGGTTTTAACTAGGTAATCTTGCAGTTGGTATATTCTGTGTTTGTAAATTCTCCAAGCTTGGAAAATCTTTCAAATGGAGAGCCAGTGTGGTGTAGTGGCTAAGAGTGTGGGACTGGGACTCGGTCAATCTGGATTCTAGTCCCCACCCAGCCGTGGAGCCAACTGGGTGACTTTGGGCCGGTCACAGACTCTCAGCCCAACCTACCTCACAGGGTTGTTGTTGTGCAGATAAGAATGAGAGGAGGAAGAGAATGATGTGAGCCACCTTGAGTTCCTTGAAAGGAAAAAAAGGCGGGGTATAAATATAATAAACTAAGAATGTGGTTTGAAGTTGGCTTGTTTCAACTATAGATTAAATTGCATATCCTATAGATTAGTTATTGTTGGCAAGAGCTTTAAGGGCAAATGGGCCTGTATGTTTGTCCCACCTATCACAAGAATGAGAGCTTCTCCAAAATGTAATTTGTCCAACATCTTTGCAAAGTCTGATACCTTCTACTTCTGTGTTTGCATGAGCAAGGGCTACAGCAGCATACGTGGCAAATACAGAAATGTGAAATGCTTCGGCTTAATTTCAAGCCCAGAAATCCCTGCCTAATACAAGGTGGCAAGAATTTCACCTGTTGGGCTTCCTGCATAATTTGTTTTCAGCACAGCTGAAAGTAACAAGAATCCTTCTTTCTTTCTCAGCAGCCACAAAAAATTCTGTGTTGTGAGAGAATGCTGCTACTGCAGAGAGAATGAGTTTGAGGGGTGTTGAAATATGTTTTTGGGAGCTTTGTGTTTGAAATTGTTGAAGGAGGTGCATGATTGCTTTCAGGACCTGTTCACAGGGTTGACTATCTCAGACAAAGAGAGCCACCCTTTCCCAATATCCAGTTGCTGCTTGCCTATCATTTCTAGATTTTAAATAGCAAACCCAGAGGGAACACAGGTGTATGTTGCAACGTGATAATTAATATAGTAAGTGAAGTAACGACATGATGATTATCATCATCCTGAGATTATTCCATGTGAACAGAAGCCTATGCATGTTGACTCTGGAGCAAGTTCTGCTACATTCAGTATTCTTTTCGTCTTAACAGGTGTGCTTATATTTGCACACACAGATTGAAATCCTAGTACAAGATGTAGAAAGTAAGAAAACATTTATGTCACAAAATATATTTTTATTTTCATTACTATCTAAATGAAAGTAGCTGGAAAATAAATGGTATTTCGTCCTGCAGCAAAATAGGAACAAACTATGGCTTGAATTGCTAGATGCATTAACGTAAGAAAATTTGGGAAGGAAAGATTTCCCTCCTTGCCCTCTCCCAGCAGCCCCATCCCACATTGCTCAAGAAGGGCCCTGCTTCCTTTTCTTCCCAGGGAATGCACTAGCCTGTAGTGGAAGGAACATTTCCTTCCACAAACTTCACGAAGTTACCCCAGCATCTAAGCCTTTGTCATTCTTGCTTTAGAAGCATTAATCTTTTATCTTACTCTTTCTCTGACCCCACTTCCCTGGTCTGCCCCTGAAAAGAATCAGAATCCTCTCAGCGTTTTTGTGTTGAAAAGCAAGGCGATGCATTCTTGTGATCAGAAGGGAGCAACTGATGAGTGGGAGTTGGAATCATTCTGCCTTTTAATAAGGAAGCTGTAATTTTGTAGTCGGCGCACTTAGCACATAAATAGCAGCAAGACTGGAGTAATTCAAAAATGTTCCAGAAGCTGCTTGCTGGGCAGCACTGCGTAGATCGTAGGTAGGCAAGGGCGGTGGATTGTACTCTTTCCTCCCCTGTCCAGCAGGTTGCCTACACGGCCACAACAAGCCGTGCTTCCCTGCCTGGTGGCAAGAGGAGCTGCTGCTGGGGCTCAAGCCAGACCTTTTTTTTCAGAGTGAGGCATTGCACAGCCACTCCAGAGAGACACTGGCAGCCATGCAAGCAGCTAGCTTGGCTCACTTGGGTGCTTCCAAGGCTCGGGCCTTGTTCTCCTTCCTCAGATGAGACCAGCCTAGAGACAGTCCGTGGGACCACTTTGCCTGCCGTGCGTTCCTAAGGAAGGACCTTCCCAGTGCTGGTTACTGATGAGCACGATGGGCACCGCTACAGGTCAGAACAAAACAAAAACCCAGGGTAGGGTTGGACAGTGTGGTATCTCATACCGTCCCTGCAGCTGGAACTCACACCTGAAACATTTGAAAGCTCAGAACCAGAGGATTCTGCTAGAAAGCATGCCTAGGCTTAGGCAGTGGCCTGGTTGGCATAGTTTAATTGTGGATGACCAAGCAATGAGGAATGAGAGTGCTTAGAGTTGCTGAGAGAAAGAAGTCAGTAGAAGGGTATGTAAAATGGTTTAGGGGCATGCGTGACATAAATTCAATCACCATCTCTCTCCCTCCCTCCCGCCCCGCTTTCCATTGAATAACAGGGGAACTGGAAAATACTAAACCACAAAGCTTCAAAAACTAAAGAAAAGCTTGGCGCCTCACACAATTTGTACACCTGCAGACAGATGCATTTAAAGTATTTCCCACCCCCAACAGAAGTGATGGGATATTTCCTGGGAGGGGGGAAGCCTTCTGCCTTGAGTTTTCAAACTGCTGTAAGTGTGCCATATTTCCTTCAGTTTCCTTGAAACATGGGCTGTTCATACCTCTCACCCTAGAAATCTGTCATCTAGATGTCACAGGGATAAGACAAACCCTCTTGATTTTAACTGCTGCCTTTCATTTGCTGGCCACTATGAGCCTAGTAAGCACCCTCATGGGCATGCAATTGGCCCATGGTCTGCCAGTCGCAACTACCCAATTTCCTTACCCATTTTCTTACACACCGTGTGCTTCACTTTCTTCCACATACCTTCTAAAATCATGGCAAAGGGCCAGGTGTCCCCCCTTCCCCATCCTTCCCTCTGTACCATTTGCCAGACAAGTGGATCCGCAATGTGAGCCACTCCCTCACAGTTTGGAAGTGATTGCTGTTGACTTGTAAAATCAAGGCTGCCTCTTTTCTTTGCTCATGCTCATGCAACAGTATCATTTCATATTGTGGCCCCAGAAACTGTGGCATTTGAAAATCAATTTAGGAGTATGACTACCCAGAGAAGGGCCTTCTCTGCGGTGGCACCCCAATTGTGGAATTCACTCCCCAGAGAGGTTTGCCTGGCGCTGTCACTTTATTCTTTTTGGTGCCAGGCCAAAACCTTTTTATTTTCCCAAATGTTTAAGGCCTGGCTGTTTTAATTGAGGTTTTATTATTAGCTAAATTTTAGGATGTTCTGTGTGTGTGTGTGTGTGTGTGTGTGCATGTGCGCGCGCGCATGTGTGTGCATGCACGCTTTACATTTTATATTGTTAAACTGTCCTGAGACTTCAGTAATGGGACAGTCTACAAACATTTTAAATAAATAAATATTTACCATGTCAGAATCCTGAAAATCCAGGAGATGCACTGTTGTCATTAACAGCAAGAGCTTGTGTTACTGTTGCTTGAAAATGTGTCTCAGACATAGCGCCAATCAACTCTTGACTACAGCCAGGAGAGACCAGGATGGAATTGGCCTGGTGACAAGAACTCTTTTGTAATTCCCCAGCTGCCATTTGGAGTGGAGGAACTCTCAGCATCTCCACCCTGTCCTCATATTGTGGATATTTTATCTGTTAAGCTGTATGTTTCTTTCCTTCTTTCTGTAGGACAGTTATTCTGAGTGAAGGACCCTGCAAGCGCTACTAAGTGGTTATCATGGGCTTCATTGCATTTCTGAAGACCCAGTTTATAGTTCACCTCCTGATTGGGTTTGTCTTTGTCGTGAGTGGGCTCATCATTAACTTCATCCAGCTATGCACGCTAATCCTCTGGCCTATAAACAAGCAGCTTTATCGAAGAGTGAACTGTCGCCTTTCATATTCTTTGTGGAGCCGTGAGTATGCTTTCATAAAGATGCATTAAACTTGATTTGTAGTTTCTTGAGACTGTAGCTCCTCAAACTGTAGATGGCCCCCTCTTGGGAAGGGATGAGTACAATTGTGTGTGCAAAGGTTGAGATGCATCTATAGTTGTTGCTGGTGGAAGGTGAGCAAGCAGTGATTACTATTTAAATGGGGAACTTGGGTATGAACCATCTTTCTTCTTTCCCAGTCCTTGTATCTATAGGCATGGGCTATCAGACTGTGAAAGAAGTGGGTGAAGGAGGGATCCATGCAGGACCTGCTCTTTCTGGCGGTGCTTAGAGCAGTTCTGTTGAGACCAACCAGTCTCTTTTGTCCTACACAGAAGCCACTCGGCTGCGTAGTAGGAATGGTCTTTCATCCTCCCACGTAAGGCAAGCGCTGCTGGGTAAGACTGAGGTCCTGTCTGGTTCAGCATTCTGTTCCAGCCATATGACCCTGCAGAGCCCACAAACAAGTCATGAGCCCGGCACCACCCTTCCAGTTGTGTTCCCCAGCAACCAGTAAGCAGAGACATACGGCCTCCCAAACTAGACTTAATATACAACCACCATGACTGCAGCCATTGATTGTCTTAGCCTCTGCAATTTTTTAAAATCTTCTCTGAAAGCCATCCAAGTTGGTGGCCGTCACCTCACTAAGCTAAAAGTTCCGCACATTGCTTGTAACCCTTTATGCATAAGGGAATTGATAATCTAGACCAGACCATAGGTGGTGAACCTATGGCATGCGTGGCACAGTGGGCACGTGGTGCCCTCTCTGTCAGCACGTGAGCCAAGTCGCCCCAGCATTGCCACAGCAACATCGGATAACAGCACACATAGGGGCCATGCCCATGCTCGGAAAGGAGTAGCAGTGCCAGGCGTTGACATCACGAGCCATGACTCATTAGCTGCTACTCATCCGAGTTTTCGCATGGCCGGTCAGTGCGCTACCAAGGAGAGAGAGGGGGAGGGAGGGAGGGAGGGATGCTTGGACTGGCTGTGAGTTGTTTTTTCTAAACAAAGACCTCAGTTTTCAGGTTTTATTGAGGTGTTGGCACTTTGCGATAATAAGTGGGTTTTGGGTTGCAGTTTGGACACTCGGCCTCTAAAAGGTTCACCATCACTGGATTAGGGTTACAAAAACGAGGTGTCCTGGCATGATTCTGATGGTTGGAATGTGTTTAGAATGTGCAGAAATGATGAGCTGTGCAGAAACAGCTACTCAGGGAAGGCTTTTTCAAAATCCCACTATTTTCAATGGAACTTTAGCTATATGAGGGTTAGGGGTGTGCACCAGGGTAGGGTTAGGGCAGTGGTGATGAACCTGTGGCACGCAGAGCCCTCTGTCAGCATGCAAGCCAAGTTACCCCAGCATCACCCAGCAGCTGAGCATTGGATAACAGCGCACATAGGGGCCATGCCCATGCTCGGAAAGGAGTAGTAGTGCCAGGTGATGACATCACGAGCCATGACTCGTTAGCTGGGACTCGTCCAAGCTTTCACATGGCCCGTCAGTGCACTTCCAAGGATATATATATATGTGCTTGGACTGGCTGTGAGTTGTTTTTTCTAAACTAAAACCTCAGTTTTCAGGTTTTATTGTAGTGTTGGCACTTTGCTATAAATAAGTGGGTTTTCGGTTGCAGTTTGGGCACTCGGTCTCTAAAAGGTTCGCCATCACTGATCTAGACCCTTGTTAATTTTGGTTGCCCTTTTCTAACTGTGTAGGATCTTTATTGCAGTAACCAAAACTTCATAGTATCCAAAGTACGTTCACCATAGATTTGTATAAAAGCATTTTGACATTAACCATATTATTTTGGTTCCCTTCATTGTGATCCCCCAAATGACCTTTGCCTTGTTCATGCATTGGGTTAATGTTTGTATGGAGCTGTCCACTAGCAACCCCAAGATTCCTTTTGTGGACACTCCTTGCCAGCTCACTCCATCCATGTATATGTGAAGTTAGGCTGTTTTTTGCTCCAGTGTCATCTTCACACTCAGTTGCACTGAACCATATTTGCCATTTCAATGCCCATTCCTTCAACTGGGAGATACAGATAGCGGAGGAGTAACCATGTCAGTGTGGAAAACACACACATAATAGACTTGCACATCTTAAAGACTAACCAGTATCTAAATTTGTTCTTTACTGCAACAGGCATCTCGGTTCTTTATCTGAAAAATAATTAAGGAACAAACAAACCCTGCAAGCATTTCCCCCCCCACCCCACTTGCTCCATTGTGTTGCTCCAATGCTATGCGTTAGATACATTTGACTAGATTGCCCCAGCAGCAAGTTAGAGCACAATCCTATACACGTTAGAAGGAAAAAGCACTGCAACTCCCAATATTCCCTAGCCAGGACTAATTACTGAGGCCACTGCTCCTCAACTTTCCCATCCTTCAGCCATTTCCCTGGCCCTTTCTGCCTTACGGTATTGGTATATGCCTTGTCCTCTTTTTTTGAGCAGAGTTGCCTCCAGCATCCATATTTTGAAAAAGCAGTGTGTGTGTGCGCGCGCGTGCGCAATCATATAATTATTTTTCTTTCTGGTTATGGCTGGATGTTAGAAAATTAGTTGAAATGGCACAGTCAGCTTAATGTAATCAACCCGTTCTCAGATTCAAGTCCTTTAGGGTGCAATCCTATGCTTGTTTAAACAGAAAAATGTCCTACAGCTCCTGACATTCCTTAGTGGACATGTTTCTGTCTAAAAGCACACAAGATTGCACCTTTAATGTGCTTCTCTTGTCTAGAGAGTGAAAGTCAGGCATGCCCTCTTCTTGGTAACTCTGTTTCTGTTGCTTACAGTGAGAATTTACTGCTATGGCAAGGATACCTCTGCAATGAATAACAGGACAATATCCATGTCTTCTTAAAGCTCCTTTTCAAGGTGGATTTTTCAGTTTAGCAGTTGGTATGGGGATGAGGGACAGAACTTACAGGCAAAGAGGACAGTGCATTTCAAATTTATTAGCTGGCAGTTTAGCGAAGCACAGGATAGCTGTCAGGTGAGCTTTTATTGCAATGAAGTAAGTTGCTAGTTTGAGCTTGTTGCAGGATGAACAAAGGGCAATATCCTAGTAAGATAACCCATCTTTGGTATGTCAGCATAGATTCAGTCTGGTGACACAATCTCAAGTACAAGAACTCTTATTTCTGTATAGACTCAGAATTGTACTGGAAATGGTGTCAAATCAATAGAGTTCAAGATGTAAGATTTTTGTACACTTGTTTTTAAAAAGAGGGAACCTGGACATTTTGCTTACAATTTTATTTTTAAACTGCATTTTCTAGTCATGCTTTTAGCAAAAAAAAAGTACAATTTATCTCATATATACATATGGATATGTTAGTGTGCCTAGATATCAAGCTATTAAATCAGGTTTTGTCTTGGGACTGATTCACACATAGTACATCACTCGGTATAAGATGTCACTTGAGGACCTGCAGCTGAGCTTGTGAAGTACCAAGCATTTCATTTAGGAGATATGCCTTGTTGATGGTGGCCCCTGGTGACCATTTTGTACATGATGGAGTTCAAACTGGCCTCTTTAGACAGAGATTTCCTTTCCAGAGTGCGTAACTGTATTACTATATATATATATATATATATATATATATATATATATATATATATTAATTTTTAAAGGAGCATCATATAAATGGCACAGAGTTTTTTAAAAGAAATAAAATATGATAATTTGATGAAGTAATTTTGGAACCTGAAGCCTTTGCCTCGCTAGGGGATGCCAACCATGTGGAAGTCATTCACAGACTCAGTCCCTTGGGAGATTTCAGTCTCTCTCTGAGTAGCTCTTAACTAAAATTATCAATGCTGCAATTGTCTGAAAAGCTCCTTCCTGTTGTAAAGTGGCATGGATGAGTCGTCTGACTTCCTGCATAGAGAAAACACTTCGCTGCATATTTAATTCATGAGGAGGATCTATATTCCAACCTTATTCATTCTCACTAGCTTCAGATGAGCTCTACTTTTTAATAGCTCGACATATTTGGTTTTTACTGCTACTAGCAACAAAAATACAAAAAAACCCCCAAATGTCTGTTGTAAGGGTCTATTTATTGCAGCCTAGGAAATTGTGGAGTTGGACCTTGCTACTCTTCTTTGTGCATTCAGTTTTAAAGAGAATCCATGACATTGTTCACTGGGCAGTTCATATATCACACTAAGCTACCCTGTAAATAAGCAATCATGGGTGGGTGGGTTGGTTGGTTGCTGAATAGCCCACAATCCTTCCAACAGACAATTGGTGTAGCCATGACTTGTTCTCCCATTCTGTCCCCCCCTTAATCTTTGCAAGAACTCTGTTTCCTTGGTGCCTAATTCAGCACCCATTTTGCAATTGGTCCACTGAGATTCCCAGCCATTAAGGGAAACCCTTCCCTCCCCCACATCGGATCACCAAATTGATCTTACATTATGAACATAAGAATGCATTCACCAGCACTTCCCCCTCTGGGGAATTTGAACCTTGATATTAGCTCAGTATACTAGTATTTCTTTCTTGTCAACATCCTGTTCAATTTCATCATCCATTCAGATCTTATCTTTATTGTAGACAGGTGTGTGTGTATTTAACATTTATTGGTAAAAAACAGCTATGTTATGCAACTCTCAAACTTCAAGAACCTCCCCCGCCCCCGCTACCAAAATGGTTTGAGAAACTGTGGTTCTTTAATCCTTTGACTGTAGGGCCAAGCTGTGTGGTTCTTGAAACCCCTAGTACTGAAAACTAAAAGCCTTGCTAAAAGCGAAATCATTCCATTTTAGGCCTTGTAATCAGCAAAGCTAAAGCTATTAAAATATAAAAATTTAAAAGCATTTAAAGTTGGGATACTTGAAGGTTGAATCCATCAGCACTGTACTATAAATGATGTCTACTTACTATTGAAACATACGCTCTGGCTGGCAAATTCTTGTAGAATAGAATTGTTTATAAATTATACACTTCTGTGCCTTTGCATCTCTCCTACTTCTGAAGCACAGTATTAAGAGTAAAATGCTCTGGAAAAGTGTATCTGGAGCCATCCTCAGATTGTAATTCTTTTTGGTTTAGGAGTCAGTTTTGGCCATAGCTTTTAAGAAAGTACTAATAAATGCAATGTCTTGGGTTTTTAGTTGCATGGTAAACCAGGATCCTGGTTTTATTTGTTTTTCCTTCAAGCACTGGTGAAGTTAGTGCTTCAGGCTGTAAGCATTTCTCTGGACCTCATTTTCTGCTCTGTTCTTTGCTCCCTACAGCTATTTTGTGTGGTAGAAACTGTCAGAAAGGATGGAGGATCTCAGTCTAAAGGTCTTTTAGGCTGCCCAGAGCAGCCACAAGGCTTCCTCCTTATGCAACACACAGACACAGAGATGGAGATTTCCATGGTCTGTTACAATTTGGGCAGCTTTATTTGGAGGCCTGTATTTCAGAGAAAGAACAGCTAAGATTGCTGTTTTCTGCCTTCATTTGTGTGATGGGCTATAATTTAAACTCATACAGCAGCAGAAAGGGATCAATATACTCAGCAGTGCTTTTAAGCCTGCAGAGATTTCCAGAAATGCCACTTCGGGTTTTCCTTAGTGTTTTAGGCTGCCGCCTTTTATGAATGGTACAGGTTTAAAGCAATCTCAGGATGTTCTGCTGCTGAGTGGCTCCCGGGTTTGGCACTGATGTAAATGCTGCTGATTAAGCAACAAGGGAGGGAATCCACTGTGCGATTTGCCAACCTTCGTCCTTCAGATTTTGAAATCAGGTTTCCAACCCTTGGATGCCCAGCCTGAGCTACAATAGATATTGCTGAATTACTTGCAGGGGAAATTTCTGGAGAGCGAATGGGGAAAGCAGCCTACAATCCCATCTACCACTCCCAAATGTTCAGCTATGGTGACAGTGTTCTTTTGCCATCAGACAGACACACACACACACACACACACACACACACACACACAACCACTGGAAATTGACTAAAGCTTGTATTGCAAGCGCTTTTGAAAAATGATACTCTTCATGTTGGAGGGAAATAGAGTGGCTATTTCATTTGGCACTGAAAAGTGTACTGAAACTTTGACCAATCTGACTTAAACTTTCTGTGCCCCACGAAGCTTAGAAAACTTGCTATCTTTAGCAGTACAGCTGTGACTCTAAAAATATTTTGAAGAAAATGGTGCACTCTAATAAATAGTAGCTTGCATATGAAAAATGACTTGCTTTTGCCCTTGCAAATAAAGTAGTTGCACCATTGGCAGCAACTGCAAGAAAATGAGTCAAAAGGGAGGCCCATCTGGGAAAGGACTACAATATATGATGAAATGTTCTGGTTAATCTATTTTGTTTTTATTTCCTTTGATATAGAGTTAGTGATGTTGCTGGAATGGTGGTCTGGTACAGAATGCACCTTATTTTCAGATGAGGCTACAGTCAGTAAGTTTGGAAAAGAACATGTTATCATCATCCTGAACCACAACTTTGAAATTGATTTTTTGTGTGGCTGGACTATGACAGAGCGCTTTGGCGTGTTGGGGGTAAGTGGTTGAAGCCTTGAACATTCTTGTTTGCCTGGTGCATAATATTTTTTTTAATTTGGGGGATGGATTTTTTTTCAACTTGAGAGAAATAGGTAGTTGGTTTGTTGTTTTTTAAATGTTCCCAGTGGCTAAAGTTATTTCCTACCAACAGCAAAAGTAGAATTTTTATAATTTCAAAATTGAAGTGTCAATGTGGTATAGTAATAAAAGCAGGAATAGGAGAACTAGTATCTGTCAGATGCTCAGGGCTATTGCTCACATAATTGCTGGCTATTGCCCATGCAGGCTAGGACTTATGGGAGTTGTAGTCTGAAACGTCAGAGAGCAGCAGGACTCATGGTTAAGGAGTGTCCCACTAGTGTTGGAGGGAACCAGGTTTAAATCACCACTTAATCATATAGGTCACTCGATAACCTTAGACCAACAGCTGTCTCTCAGCTTAAAACCTATTTCACAGGGTTGTTAGGATAAAATGGGAGAGCTGTGTATGTTGCTTGAACATGTTGGAAGAAAGGTAAGATATAAATATAATAAATGCATTACTTGTACCTTCCAGAAACTCATTTCAGAACATAGTTGAAAATGGCATTATGTGTACATGCTACGTTGCATTTAAACAAAGTAAAGCTATTTTATGGTATTTCTTTCAGAGTTCAAAAGTTCTAGCTAAAAAAGAACTGTTATATGTGCCCTTGATTGGCTGGACATGGTACTTCCTGGAGATTGTTTTCTGCAAAAGGAAATGGGAGGAAGATCGAGACACAGTCATTAAAGGGCTAAAGCGACTGTCGGATTATCCAGAGTATATGTGGGTAAGTGAAGATTTGCGCAGCATTTCTTCTCCACTTTGAATAGGATGATGATCAGTGCAGTCTTATGTGTATGCATGTTGTCATACTATGTCTGTGGTAGTGAAGATACACTGAGTGCACTTCTGGGGCAGAGCTGTTGGTATTCCTCCAGGAGCATCCCTTCAGGCAGGAAGCACAGGAAGAGCCTCTGAAGAGTCTGCTCCTTTATAACCTGGAGATTCTTGCTTGGATTACTTTGATCTCTAACAGCCTCTGGGTATCCTGCAGTCCTCCTTTTGTTGCAGAGGTTTCTGAATTCAGATCCTGGGTCAGAACAATCTTCTAATGGTAGCCACACAGATGTAATAAAACCTTTATCTGAATGGTAATGCAGATGTTTCTCCCTCTTGTTCTGTGTCACAGTTTCTCCTGTATTGTGAAGGAACTCGTTTTACAGAGACCAAGCATCGCATCAGCATGGAGGTGGCAGCTTCTAAGGGATTACCTAAACTCAAATATCACCTGTTGCCCAGAACCAAAGGTTTCACTACTGCTGTCCAGTGTCTCAGGGGAACAGGTACCTAGTCCCTTGGCCTTACTTCCACTGTTTATTAATAATTATTCTTTAGCATGGCTGTTGCTGTTGGTCACTAGATTTTTTTAAAATACTGGATCTCTATTGATGCTGACATTTTAAACTGCTAGATTTGATTTTGGTAAATAAGCTTAATACATCGAGTTCTTCTTTTGAATTCAGAGAAATTAATAATGCTACTTAGCACTTCACGTTTCTAAAGTGGTGTGCAAACATTGCCTAATTAACGCTCCCAGCATGCATGTGAGGTATAAGTTTGTGTTTTGCCACACAGATGATGGTGTTAATAGGACAGATGGCTGGTTAAATTTAATTGATGGGTTACACACTTGCCTATGTCACCAGCTAGACACATCAAAGCAATGTAGTAGATGTTGCGGTGAAAAGGGTCTAGGAACAAAACTGAACCCAGTCTCTCTTGATAGAAATTTAATCATATTTTAATACCATTCCTCATCTTTCAAGATGTTACAAAAGTAGGTTTTTGAAACATCCAGTGGTGATTCCAGAGCCTTCCTTTGCCATCCAGAGAAATTCAGTGTGATTTTTCTGGTGGAAATCAGGAAAAGTGTCGAACTCCTACTTAAGTGCTTGAATCCTGTTGATTCCAGGGGCAGTTTAAACACGCAGAGTTTCCATGGGTTGTGTTTAATGTGTGAGAGACCCTTGCATCAAATAAAGACAAGAGTGTTGAATCTGAATGAGGAACACTGCAGATGGCCCTGCCCAAATGTTCCGGTCCCCACACTGCAAAAAAGCATTGCCCTGTCAAAACTGCCTTTTAAAGTGGGGCTAACTAGTTGTCAAAACTCCTTTCCTCCAGAAAAAGAGAGTGGGGTGCACTTTTGTATTTTCCTGAGCATCTTGAGAATAAGTACAAAATATGGCTTACCCTGAAGATGGTTAGGCCAAAAAAACCTGATGAGGATCTCATTGGGAAAGGAGTGTAAATCTCACCATCTCCTTTTTACAAGCAAAGACAGCCATGCCTTTCTGTTTTGACAGGTGTCAAGAGAAAGCAAAAAGCCTATTTGGAGCTTCTTTGAGTTAATGCTGTACTTGGGCAGCTGTCATCCCCCCAGGACATTGACCCATTCAAGCCTTCACATTTCTGCACTCACAGAACTGCCCAGCTGTGCAAGTGCAGCTGAGTCTCTTATCAAAGACTCCAGACCAAACTTAGCAATCCTGGTATAAGAGGGGAAGTCCTCTTATGGATCAGCAACTGATGAAAGACCAGAAAGCAGGGGGTTGTACTAGGACAACTGCTTTTCAGCATATTCCTCAATGAGCCAGTGTGGTGTAGTGGTTAAGAGCGTGGGACTGGGACTCAGACGATCTGGGTTCTAGTCCCCGCTCGGCCATGGAGCCAACTGGGTGACTTTGGGCCAGTCACAGACTCTCAGCCCAACCTACCTCACAGGGTTGTTGTTGTGGGGATAAGATGGAGGAGGAGAATGATGTAAGCTGCCTTGAGCCCTTTGTAGGAAAAAGGCAGGATATAAATCGAAAAATAAATAAATAAATAAATAAAATGAGCTGCAATTAGGAATGAGTAGTGAAGTGGCTCATTCTCAGTGTTTGCGGATGACATCAAACTATTTGGGTGATTAAAACGCAAAGGGATTGTGAAGCACTCCAGAGCTGGCATCAAAGTGGAAATGCAGTTCAATGTACGCGCATGTAAAACCATGCTCGCTAGGAGAAAAAATCCCAAATTCAGGGTGAAGTGGATGGGATGTGAGCTAGCAGTGTCTGACCAAGAAAGAATTCCTGGGTTTGTGGGGGAAAGCTAAGTGGAATGAAAATGTTGACCCAGTGTGCATTTGCTGCAGAAAAGGCAATCTGCACATTAGCATAATTAGGAAAGGAACTAAAAGGGAAACTTCCAGCATCATGCTGCCCTCATACAACTCTGTGGTGTGACAACATATAGAATTCGGAGCTGGTCACTGCATTAAAAAAGAATACTGTAGAGCTGGAAGGATTATATCAGCTGAGATTGATTAATGGGGGGGTGAGGGGGAAAGTAAGTGGGGGGAGAAAAAATAGAGCCACATAATTATTCAAGATATGGAAAGGGGGAAGAGGGAGACCTTTTTTGTTTCTCTTATAATACTACACACACACACACATACAGGACAGATAAGAGAAAGTACCTCTTCACACAGTTCATACTTCACTTCTGTGAGATGGCCACCAATTTCAATGGATTTAAAGGGAGAAGGCTATATCTGTCTTCTAGTCTTGATGAGTACAGGGGGTCTCTGGTCAGACAGGCAGTATGCCTGCGTGCACCAGTTGTTGGGAACTTCGGCAGGAGGGGGCTGTTGCATTCATATCTCGCTTGTGGGGAAAGCTGGTTGGCCGCTGGACTAGATGGACCTTGTTCTAATGTAATAATTAAAAAGACAGAATTCTTGCAGTCTGAACACTGAAATGATGATGATGTAATTTTGCTTGCAACAGTTTCCGCAGTTTATGATGTGACATTAAACTTCAGAGGAAACAAGAACCCATCCCTACTAGGAATCCTTTATGGAAAGAAATACGAAGCAGACATGTGTGTCAGGTGAGCATGTACACATGAGATATATTTGTGAGTTGTCCTTGTGTCACAGTGGTGAAGCAGCCAATTTTACTAGTGTTTTCCTTCCTTTCTACCCCATTCCTGATCAGCAGAGAGATAGATTCTTCTGCTTTACAGAGGTTTCAGAAGAGTTTCATTTCACTATTAGAACGGGAGCACAAAAGGTCATGAGTTCTTTCAAACAGTAATTTGCTTTTTCTGCATTTAGTTTGATCACTGGGAGTACATTCTGTGGAGCTCCATAAGTACATTATGCCAAGCACCACCTCTTCAAAAATGGATAAATAGCAAGTTATAGTCCAATCTCATTAAGTGATAGCCATCAATATATTCTAGGCAAAGTCTGGCTTGGAGTCCTGGGATGTATTTTTTGGGACTTTTCTTGACTAGGCCTGCTGTTGAACAGTATGAATTGGTGACTGCCCTTCTCCATTTTTAATTTTTTAATTTCAGAAGAATTGCAGAAATTATTTCCAGCTGTGTCAATTGCAGCCCTGTTTAAAACGGGTCTTTCTTCACAGTGAATAAAAGCTTTGTCATTTCCATTGGTGCTTGTGATGATGTCTACAGCCATCCTAGGAAAGACAAACAATCTAGATCAGAACCAGGGTCTGATCTAAAGTCTAAGGGTCTTATAGAGGTTTGGTGTCCCCAGTGTGGTCCACAGAACACTCTTTCTATGGCCTACATAAATTAGTGGAATATCTCCCCATTTGGCAAGGAAAGAACATGGCGTAGTGATTACAGCGTGCAAAAGATCCTTGTCTCTGTTCTTGGCTTCTTTGGGTAAGACCAGGAAAGACCAGTCTGGATCAATGGAGAGCTGTTGCAAGTCACTGCAGGCCAGTCTTTCCCAGCCTGAAATTCTCCAAATGTGTTGGACTGCAATTCCCATCATTTGCAAATATACCAGTCTATGCTGGGTGGGATGGTGGGAGTTGTAGTCCAGCATATCTGCAGGGAACTGGGTTAGGGAAGCTGTTGTAGACAATACTAAGCCATAAATGGACCAATACCCCGACTGTGATAAGGCTAATTCCTGTCATGTTCAAACCAATGCCCTTATGTGACATTATTCTATAGATAAAGGTCTGGAGCAGCTAATTTCTAAAGTGTAAAAGAACCGATGTGGTATAGCTATCATTTTCCAACAACACAACCTTTGATGTAGCCACTGTCACTACATCACGTACCTGAATGACATGGATCTCTTCATTAACTTTTTCAAGTGTCTGAGGTCCCTGATACAAGATGTGAACTTCTGACCTTTAACATTTACTTGGGTGAAAGAAAGGAAACTGTGCACACACTAGATGTCTCCAGCTTGGCCAATTTATTATGGCATCACCTGCCTCATTCACTGAATTTTTCAGGGATTCATATGATGCTATCCACTTGTAGCACTTTCTTTCCCCCCCACTACATCTGTGTTGGTCTACAACCATAATAAATTGAGTGACTGATTCCCCACCATGTCTTCCATAAATACCAGAATAAAACCTGAAGAATCTCCAGCCTGAGTTGGATGTGGGAGGGATTGCATTGCAGTGGTTCAGCTGCTACTTGGATGGCCAGATCCAGAAGGTGGTGCTTCTATATATTGCCTGATCATATGGATTCTTCAGCATGGGGTTCCATAGAAGTTGGTTTAGTTCTCCATGTTATGTAACATAGACACAAAACTGCTGAGTGGCGAGTGTGTTGTTGTCAGTAAACTGAGGACATGCAGCTCTATTTCTCCTTTTGATCTCCTGCAGGTGAGACTGTGGTTATGCTTAGCAGGTGCCTGACTATGAGAAGGCAGGGGCTCACCAACTGAAACTCAGTCCAGACAAGACTACAGTGTTGTTAGTGGGTGGTTTATCAGACCAGATGGAGGGAGTTCAGCATGTTCTGGATGGGTTTGCACTCCCCTTTAAGGAGCAGGTTTGTAGTTTTGAGGTCCTCCTTGAACTGTCTTTGTCACTTGAGTCCCAGGTGGCCCAAGTGGGTAGGAGTGCCTTCCACTATCTCTGGTTGGTGGCCCACCTACACCCCTGTTTGGACAGAGATAGTCTGGTTTCAGTAAGTATGCCCTGGCGATAAACTGGAGTACGGCAATGCAGTCTGTGGGGCTGCCCATGAAGGCTGTTAAAAGATGCCTTTTGTGCAACATCTAGCAGCTGGACTAATAACCAGGACCAGTAGGTCTAAATACATAAGACCAGCTCTGGCTCACTGTGCTTCCAAACCCAATAAAGGTGCTGCTTTTAACCTATAAAGCCGTACTTGGCTTAGGACGGCAATACTTGATGGAGTGCTTCTCCCAGTTGCATCCAACCTGGGCATTACAGTCAACATCAGAGGCCTTTCTCCAAGTGCCAACCCTGAGGGGTACCCAGCAGCAGCAAAGGGGAGAGCCTTCTCTGTGGCACCACCCTGACTGTAGAATGGTCTCCCCACTAAAGACCTGTCTGTGGAAAACTTTGAAGCACTGGGTTAAGGCAGCCCTCTCTGCTGAGGCATTTAAAGATGTCCCAGAATATTAAAGAGCTTGATGGAAGTATCCAAATCAGGTGTTTCAAGAAGTTTGCTTGGTATTTATCGGATATTGTTTTAGCTGCTACATGGTTTTAAATTGTGTATTTGGGGAATTTTTATGCTGTTTTATCAAATTGTCTTGCTTTTTAAACTTTTGTAAGTGGCCCAGAGAGCTTCTACAAGTGGATGGTATAGAAATGAAATGGGGTGCAATGAAGGAGGAAGTTAGAGAACAGATGCACATAACCTTTTGAATGATGGGGCCAGGAGTCCTCTGTCTGCAAGGCTGCTCTACTTTAACATTTGTAATTAGCTGAATTTTCCTTTCTGGAGAAAGCAAAGGCTATTCTTTATGCAGTCATAATAATATGAGGAATGCTTGTGACATAGTCTGCATATTGTTGCTCTGGGCACCCTCCGGTGGCAAGTTCACTGCAGGGAAGCAACAATGCAGGCTTTTCAGTCATAGTTGTGATATTTGTGGGGAGCATAATATAGCTAGTTAGATAGGGAGCTGCACAGAAGCGGGATCATTACCTATTTGGGCCATATTATATCTTTGCACATGTGGCTATTTGGATTCAGTGTGGCTATTCTGCAAGTAAAATATTTCCTGGTTTTCTGTTTTTTAAATTATTATTATTATAACATTTCTATGCCGCCCCTTGCCGAAGCCTCGGGGCGGCTTACAACACAATAAAATACATTGAAATACAATAGAACATAATAAATTACCACTAAATACAAAAATACAAAAAATACACTGAGATACAAACATAATAATATAAAATTAAAATTAACAGTATAAAATAAGTAAATAAAGAATATAGGAGGAGAAAAGAGAAGGAAGAAGAAGTTGCCCAGGCCAGATCATATGTTTTAACAATTGAAATGATGTTTAAATAAAAAGGTCTTTACCTGGCGCTGAAAAACCAGTAACGACGGTGCCAGGCGGACCTCTTTGGGGAGTGAATTCCATAGGTTGGGCGCCACCGCAGAGAAAGCCCTCCTCCGGGTACTTACTCTCCTAATTTCTTTCATGGAGGGTTCCCGGAGAAGGGACTCTCCCGCAGATCTCAAAGGGCGGTCGGGCATATACGGACGTAAGCGCTCGTTCAGGTAGCCAGGACCCAAGCCGTTTAGGGCTTTGTAGGTCATAATCAACACCTTGAATTGGGCCCGGGCTTCAATGGGAAGCCAGTGAAGCTGATGGAGGACTGGAGTCATGTGAGCATAACGCCCCGTCCCCGTCAGCAACCTGGCAGCTCTATTTTGCACCAATTGAAGTGTTCGGACTGTCTTCAGGGGAAGCCCCACGTAAAGCGCGTTACAGAAGTCTAGGCGGGAAGTCACCAGCGCGTGTGTCACCGTCGCCAGGCAGTCGTACTCCAGGTAGGGGCGCAGCTGATTAATCAGCCGAAGCTGAAGGAAGGTGCTCCTCACCACCGCTGTCACCTGAGCTTCCAAAGAAAGCTCCGGGTCGAGGAGTACTCCTAAGCTGGGGAAGTACCAAGCAGTTCCATTCAGTTCTGTACAATCTTTGCAAAGTTCCTACATAACTCTGAATAATAGTGCAGTCCTATGCATATTAGATAAGTTCCACTGTGTTCAAAGCATTTTACTCCCAGGTAAATATACATAGGGTGACAGCCTAAATAAACCTTTTGTAGTGCTAATTTTGCAAACAGAATCTCACAAAGCCTCTGCAGAATGTTTGGCAGAGCAGCAGTTCCATTTTCCTCCATAGTCCAGGTCTGCCAAGAATGTTTCCCGTGCAGGACCTGCCAAAATGAATCAGCATTACAGCAGATGCAGGACTTTATTGTGCATTGTGCCATCGCTGTCTCAGCTGTTCAGAGTTTTTGTTGCAGAGGTAGTTTTGTAGCAGCCTTCCCCAAAATGGTGTTCTTCAGATGTCTGAACTGCGGCTCCCACCACCACTCAGTACCATCCGCGCTGCCTGGAGGATTGTGGTTCAAAACATCTGGTGGGAACCACTTTGGTGAAAACTTATTTGTAGTGCTTCCCTACTTCTGATGTTGGGGCAGCTCAAGTTTCATCATGTCATGATGGATGACGTTCCAGTAGTACAGGGCACTGGAAAGTGCTCACATGGGATGAGGAAAAGCCTCTTCAGGTGTTCTAAACCTGCACAGGGTACACACATTAAAAGGAGGGAAGGCTCCAGCTCTATCCCTCCCCTTTGTCATATGTCACCCCTCTGTGTGCACCTGTCTGAAATGGGCAGCCTCCTCACTCCATGGGGGCTCATCAGAGTTCCAGATTGCAAGGCAAGCTGCCACAGGGAAAGATGCTTCCCTTCTTCAAGCAGGGCGATGAAAGAGGCAAAGGGAAGGGTGGGGCAAGGTGCTCCCTCCTTTCGTGTGCTTGCCCTGTTCTCACCTGAACAGGACTGCAGTCGTTGTCATGGCAGTGATAATGCACAACATTTGTACAGTGCTTTCAAGTGTTCAACGCACTTCATAACAATCCTGTACAGTGTCAGTATTAATCTCCGAGTTGCAGGTGGGGTGGGAGGCACTGAGGCTGGAAGAAAGTGGCTTGGCTAAAGCCATGAAGTTGGTTCTTGATGAGGCAACATCTGAGCCAGAGGCTTCCTGATTTGCAGCTCAGTCTTTTAGCCACCACGCTATACCTTTTCAGGCTAGCCGAGTTAGTTGAATGAATGGAAGATGGGTTGCTTACAGCGGGTGGAGAGATGAAATCTCAGCTGGTGGCCTGGAATTCAACGAGTGTAGATTCATGCTAATTTCTAAAAAGAGATGTTCTCAGTAAATATTGCAGCCTCCTCCCAACACTTCAGTGGGTCAAGCTTTATGTCGATGAATATTCAGCAATGCTGGAATGGGATTTGCTCATCCACAAAGACACTCTTTTTATGATTACTTGCCATAAAGCAGGATTGAAGATGTGCACGAAGTAGAATCTGCTCACACTGAGTGGCAATTGGAAATGCAGCAGTGATGTAACACAAATGCTTTCTTTTAAAGGTGTACTGTAGCTGTTTATGACACAGATGTGCATTCTTCACATTGTTCATAGGGATATATAGGCAGGTATTCTGGGCAGGAAAAATGAGAACATTTGAACAAATTCTTGTGTTTACAATTTCCTGATCATTTGCATTAAATAGTAAAATATCACTATTTGCATTAAATAGTACAGATGTGCTATTTCTAGCTTTGTAGTGTAGAAGCTATAATTCACATATTGTGCTTATTTTCTAATAAAAAACTCTATTTGACTTCTTTTAAAAAAAACTAGGAGGTTTCCTCTAGAAGATATCCCTTTAGATGAAAAGGAAGCAGCAAAATGGCTTCATACACTTTACCAGGAAAAGGTAAATAGCTTGTCTCTCTTGAAGATTTTATACAATGATATACTAATGTAATGAATTATAAGGACAGGACAGTATTGTTGACACAAGTCCCTTCTGCTTATGAAAGTAACAAGATGTAATGTGGGAAGTATGTGATGAAAACAGCACACGGTTCTTTAAGAGGTTCATGGCAACTATGGGTATGTGTGGATTGGATTGGGTTGTGGTGCTAGGTGGTAACTTTTATTCCCTATACCATTTTCCAAAACAAAGTTTCCCCATATGATAACTGCACATTTTCACCTCAGGACCTTGTTCCCATTAGATTAGCCCCCAGATGGCTGCTAGCAAATATAATGCAGGTTTTCTTCATGGGCTTAGAGGTATATCTGTATCTGTCTGTGTTTGTATCTGTCTGTCTGTCAGATCTTGATTACTGTACACTAGTCTACAGTCTTCCAGAAGTCAGGAACTCTACTTTTAAAGAGACTTTAATGTGCAGGGAGGGGAAGTTTAAGCTTCTTGTCCCCAGACACTGTATGTCTGAATGTATGTGGCGAGAAGGGTGGGTTACTGAAAAGTAGAGAGTGAGCAGAAAGTCTGTGCATGTGTGTTTTCCTGACCAACCACTCATCACTGCATATGGCTCTTGGGAGCAAAAAGGTTGCCCAGACCAGTGAGAATCCATAATTCTAACAACCAACAAAGCAGTTATAGTGGCTCAGAAGAAGGTGCTGAGAACCTTGCTGTATGAGACAGAACATCCATTCGCATGAAGTGGGAATGTTGCTAAGAAAGATGCCAATAGGCTGGACCAGGGCCAGCCCTACCATTGGGTGGTTCATGAAGTAGTTGCTTCGGGCAACAGGTGCTGGAGGTAGCAACAAGGTGATGAGGACAGGTGTACCTGCTCCGTGTGCCTAAGCTAGCTTGCCACCTTCTGGTGCAGCAGCGGATCTCACCCCAACACCAGCACTGAAAAAAGATTCTATTGCCAGTCCAAAAGCAGTTGTAAGTTTACTGCCCGCAAAAACTCTTTCTTCAGCTGCTTGTGTTAATAGGTTCGTAATTGTTGGATTGCATGAAGACATTTTGCATTTAACCACCGTCAAAAACAGTTTTAAAGGCTAGTACTTGTGTTTTGTTTTAAGAACTGTCATTACACTTGGCAGAATAAAAAAGAAGTTGCAATTTATCAAGTGCTGATTATGATTCTGTGGATAATGCAACATGTGACATCAATGCAGATTATAACCATCAAGGAGATACTGTGTACCTTGACCCTCTGGTTGTTCTCTTTTTTTCCTCAGCTGATCCATAAATGGCATTTTGCTATTATGATTTCTGTAGCCAGTGTTCTTTCTCAGTGGTGTTGTCAAATAGTACAGAATCTAATACAGAAACGGAAAAGGTACAAGAGCAAAGCCCTTTGAATGTTGTTGTTGGTTTTTTAATTAACCATGGTGGAACACAAAATACAAATTCCTCCAACCACAACCAGTAGTGGTGGGCCATATGGGCCTATCTCTGTGACATTATTAAAATATACAGACTTCAAATCATTTGAATACAATCCTATGCATTCCCACTTTTGGAAGCTTTTCTTTCTCTCTTCAAGGACGCTTTACAAGAGAAGTATAATCAAGAGGGTATATTTCCTGGGCAGCAATTCAAACCTCCCAGAAGACCATGGACTCTCCTCAACTTTCTCTTCTGGGCTACCATTATCCTGTCTCCTCTTTTCAAATTTGGTTTTGGCATTTTTGCAAGTGGATCACCTCTTCTGATTTTAGCATTCCTGGGCTTTGTTGGAGCAGGTAATAAAACCAAAGAAGAAAAATCTGAAGTCTTCCCGTGAGATGCATGCATGAGAATTCTTTGATGCAGCCAGACACCAGTGTCCATTTCTCAGTTAATCACGTCATGTGTAGGGTAGGGGTGAAGAATGATGTTTGATGTATAAATACAGTTATAGATCACTTTCTTTCATTTGTTGGTTCTGTCTGCCTTCCTGCATTCGAACACAGTGATTGTGAGATCTGAGAAGCAGTTTCAGAAAGTTACTCAGAATCTGTTTTCATATTTAATTGGGCTCACTTTCCTAATCTATCCCCAAGAGCTAAGAGTAAATTAGCATATACAGATAATTTTATCTTCACAATAGTCCAATGATAAGTCATCCATTAATGTGCATCCTCACACAGACCTAACATAGTAGCTTCTGCTTTATGTTAATCCTTATGCTGCTGCTAATCTTTTAGGCCAGAGGTGGTGAGCAGAAGGTAGATCTGGCTCTCCTGGTAGATTTCCAAATGATTTGCAGTGGATGAGCATGCATGTTGACTCCTGATTTTTTTAGTGATAACAACACCAACGTGGCATATGCATACACCCAAGTTATTACCATAATGAGGACTGTTCAGGGTGATGAAGCAAGCATGTTTTCTTGTGGAAGTATTGTAAGCTCCATTTGGTTCTAATAATTCAGTGTGAATTCCTGAGCTCAGAAGGCTTCCATTCTAAAGCTGTCACTTTTGTACTATCATCTTGTAAGTACAGATTTTGATAATACTTTTATAAGCATAAAGGCTGTGGCTGCTGGACCTCTAGATCCTAGTAAAAATACCCAACATAGAACCATAGACTGTGATCTTTTCAGAAAGACAAACCAGTTCTTTGTATCACTGGCATTTTAGCCTTTGGAATGAACAACTTCAAAACACTTTTTAAAGTCTTCAAATTTACGGTGGCACAATGTTACAGTAGTAATGTACACCTGCTGCTCACCATTTTGTAAAAATTGGCAATGGCATGAATGGGTTTTCGCAGCACTGCCCTTTCTTATGTAACCAGCTGAGGGCTCTGGGAGCTACTTCAGTTTATCTCAAAGAATAACTCCCCACTGGAGAAATGAAAATACAAAGGTACAGTACAGAAGGAATGTGATGGGAGAAGAATCAGCAGGAGAAAGGAAAGCTGTGGCTGGATTTCTGCTAACAATGCTAAAATCTCCACCAGTACTTAAAAACAGGTAGTACCATTTTCACCAACCAGAACTCAGGAACGGACACATACCAGAGGCAGTAGAAAGCACTCTCCTTATTCCTGTTTCTGGACCTTTGATCTGTTTCAGTTTTCCTGATTTTTGCATGTGTATGCATGTACATGGACAGGGTTGAGCATTTTCTACAGTTCTGTGCACCTACAGAATCTGATGATACAAGGCTGTGGCTTTCACTGGCCAAGCAGATAGTTTTAGAACTGTCTGGGCAATGCCTGGAGAGATCGCAGAAGTGCTGGTTGCATGGTAAGTAGAGCCTGAAGTAGCTTGGCTTTCAGAATGACTTAATGCAGGGGTGAGCAACATATGGCCTGTTTTCAGACTCGAATTGCCATCAGCCCTAGCCAGTATGGCCAGCGGCGAGAGGGAGTAAGTGTTAGAGCTCAACCGCATCTGGAGGGTCATGTTGCCATCCCTGTTCTGATGGCTAGCTAGAACACAATACCTTATGTGCATGCAATATAGATGCACAGTTCCATAATTTGTATTGGTTTCAGATTTTGATTCCATTTCTAAGCATAGAATATGCACAGCCCCATACACAGAATAAGTGTATATTCTATGCATATGCATATCATGCATATACGTATCACAACTTTGCTAAATAGTGGGATAACTCCTAGTGTAACTCAGTAATCTCTTCTCTTTCTGTTTTAAAGCTTCGTTTGGAGTTCGTAGACTGATAGGAGTAACGGAAATAGAAAAGGGCTCCAGCTATGGCAACCAAGAGTTCAAGAAAAAGAAATAGTTTTACAGATGCAGTTCTGAACATATAACAAGACTATGGTATCAAATTAACTTCACTGAAAGAAAGACACTTAGAAAACTTATCTTTTTTTTCTTATTAACTGATAACTAATAATACTTGAGCCAAGACTGAAGAAATTGGAAGATTCAAGAGAAGAGAAAACAATTGACTACTTTCCTGCCTAAGGATCCCTGTATTCAGTTTTGGGAGACAAATATGGGCTAAAAACAACCTTTTTCTTTTTGCTTTCTTGTGGGTGGGAGGGGCAGCTAATGGGTAGAGCTATATGCATCTTCAGATACCTGGTTTGTCTTCAAGACTACAAACACTCGCTTAGCAAGAGAAGTTACTGAATGTTTCCTCTTGCTAAAACTAATTTAATACTTTCTTAGCAACTTTTTTAAAAAGCTAAGGCAGCATGCGTTGCAGCAAAACACCGTCTCCAATTAATTTATAGTTTTTCTTGGGAAGGAAGCCACTTGAAAAAGCTACTTCATCTTTGCAGATATTTATTTTTATTTTATTATCGAGTATCTTCCATAAGACAATGGCATTTTGATGGCAGCAGTACCTTACTGATAAGCACATATGTTCCACCTGATATTACCATAGTGAACACAATTCCAAGCCTTGTTTTTTCACCTCTTTCCCCTTATGCTGTCCCTATTAAAACTGGAACATGCTTAGCTCGATTTCCTAAATAGGTGTTGTACTTATTATTGCTTTCTTTAAACAAATGACCCTGACTGACCAGGGCTGGTCAGTCTCCTAATCTCATGAGTTTCTTCAAGGGGTACAATCCTGCTCAGAATCCCCTGCATGGCTTCTTGTGAAAAACAGCATAAAATAGCACGGGAGCCTGGAAGAGAACTGGTTCTATAAACTCTTTTCAAGGAGTAGATCTGTGGGGGGGTTTGGTACAGTATAAAGAATATTGTATCCTCTAGGGCTTAACCTTAAGTACACTTACTTGAAAGTGTTTTCTTCTAAAGATCAGATGATGTTTTTTCTGATTATGGATGTGATCTTGCATTTCTTTAGACAAAAAGAAGTCTTACAATTCCCATGACTGGCTGGGGAATGCTGGGATTTGTATAACATTTTTCCTGTCTGAACAGAGCTAGGATTGCACCATAAATGTGTCAGGGGTTAGGATGTCAGCGGCCTACGTTAGCACAGTAGATTGCCATGTAAAGCATTCACAGAAGTCATGGACTGCTTTAGGGTTGTGTGAAGGTTGCTTAAGCCTTTGCACAATCCACCTTTGCTGGGTTCGGATGACATGACAAGTCCCAATTCCAGGATGGCATACAAGGACATCACGGTTCATCATGACTTAAACAAGCTATGACCAAACCCAGTCAATCTGTTTTGGTGGGCTTTCTTTTTGTTTTAGTTTTTAACTATTTCTGGCTCCATAGCACACTGGTAGGACACAGTTTTCAGGGGAAGGCTGAAAGATTGCCTTTCAGGCACCAAGATTGCCTCTTCCTAGAAAGCCATTTGCATGAAGCAGCTTGCAATTCAACCACATGTAGATTGACATGGTGAGCCAAGCCATCTCTACACAATGACTTTTAGTGAGCAAATGGTTAGTCAGGAGGAAGCGACTTCCCTGCAGATGATCTTTCTGTGCAGCTGTCCTTAAAAGATTCTTCCAGATTGATATTTGTATATGTTTAAAAGAGGGGAAGTTCTAATTATGTGGGAGTGGCATTCACCTTTTTCCAGTGCTGGGACCATATTTTGCCATCAGCTCTGCACTAAAAACAAAAAATCCGTTCAATGATTTGCTTAAAATAAATAGAATTCAAAGCAAAATTAAGCCCTACTACTTCTTACGATGTAATATCAACGCACATGTTCTTATTTGAATATTTTAACAGATTGTATTTAATGTTTGTCTTTCTGTCTGTCTTTTTCTGTCTCGCATAACCCAGGGTAAATGTGTAATATTTTACTTTCAACATGTAACTGTTGGCAAACTTTTTATTCCCTACCCACAGAAGCTGATTTTAACAATTGTATGAACACCTTTGTTTGCAAGTTACCTCTTTGAAACATGGACAGTTCTTTGTGGGAACTGCTTATTGTTGTTTTCTCATGCACATGCCTGTTTGCTTAGGGATTGCTAAATGCACAGTTTCTGAGGCAGCCTTATGGGCCATGGTCAAATCAGCTGACATACAAGTATGATGGGGAATGGTATGTAGAAGAAATTTTCTGGTTCTGCTGCACCAGTTCTTGTTTCTGAAGAAACAAGCCATTTTTAAAATTGAATGGTTACTTGTCTTTGGAAGGAAGCACTACTGTTGCAAAAGCTGAAAGGGTTCAAGTCCGATGCATGTTTAGACAGGAACAAAGGCCTACAGCTCCCAGCATTCCACAGAGCTGTAGGACGTTTTTCTGTCTATGTGTGCATCGGGTTATTTCTTAACTGCATTAGTTTCTTTCCTTCGTGAATATACCAATACTTTTGGTTGCAGCCCATAGCATTCATGCATTTTGCTATATCTTTCCCCTAGTGTAACGTTGCTTTGTCAATCCCACAACAGACACATTTGCCTCCTAAGACAGATACAATTCTACCCTGGCTGTAAGGGCAGACAACTGTTATTACCTTCATTGGAAGTTGAACATGTGCTTCTTGCGAAGGGGACAGAATCCAACCATGACTGTCTTTTTTACTCAGTACATATTTTCTGTTTTTTTTAACATTAGACAGCTGGACAGAGAACTTTTTCTCTGTTTTCTGACCATAAGACTGGAACAAGCAGGATTCTGTGTTTTTTTTTTTTTTTTAAGTACTTGGTATATACCTCTTGTTAGAAGGTTTTTCCCCTTTTTTCTTTTCTTCAACAGATGCTGTATAAGTGCTTTTTGAAGAAGATGCTGAATATATTATAATGGCACTTAATAACATAAGCAAAGTAGCATAGCTCCCTGACTCTGGGTCACAGTTACCTGTCAGCAAGGAGTTCTGTATTGGTAAATAAAGCCAGAAATGTTAATAGAATTAAGTGGGAGGGTGGGGAACTGTGGAGGAAGAGGCTGCAAGGAAGAAAAAGTGAGCATAGAGATAATTTTTAAGTAGATGCCCATTTTCCACTTAGTGCAGATAACTCCTGCTTGAAGGTAATGGGAGTAGTGCATGTACATTATGGGGAGAAGAAGCAGATGTTTTTCTTCTGTTTTCATATCATGACATACTGATCATATTTTGTTTTGAAACCATAGTAAAGGATACACATTAATTTGTTTGTAATTCTAGAAAGACATATCAATTTTGAAGTGTACAACATTGCACAGTATAGTATATTACAGCTCATCTTTTTGGCTTGAACTTTGGTTTATCTCTTGAAATAGTTTTTTTAATATAAATATGCAGAGTGTGTATGAAAGAATATTACTGGAAATAGCAGTGTGTCTCATAAAGAATATCAAGTGGTTTGGATTCAAACAGTGAGCCTAGATTTTATACCTTACATTATTTTCTTCTGGTTTAATAGAACATAGCTTGTATATTTGACTACCAAGCCCTTTGAGAGCAATAATAAACAAAATATATCATGATCTTTCTTTTCTTTTTTCTTTTTGGTCTTCTTCATTCTTAAATTTTAACCATCGTTAGAACATGGTGCGCCTCCTTCCCATTTCCAGTGCTCCATTTGTGTTCTGATAAACTGGATTAAAATGTAAGTTTAAAATATATAGGTTGGAATCCAAAGAGTCAATTTAGGTTCAATGCAGCTTGAGTGTCCTCTTTGTGATGTTTGACCTTTTCAGCTTCATGGGCAATGCTGGGCCATCTCACAAGTTATTCTCCACTGGGTTTCGAAAAGACCTGGCCACACAGCAATGGGGAGAGGCGAGTATCTGTATCTGGCTGGTCAACAAAACACTTCTAACTTTCTCCACTGCAATGGGGAAATGCTGTACACAGTGCAATTCCTTGGATCTCCTTCATTGACTGCAAAACATTCTGCAGTTGGGTACAGTTTAGCTGATCTGTTGGTTTTATTCACCCTTCACTGTTTGCTGCACTGGGGCATTATCTTTCATTTGTATATAGTACTTCAAATATACAAAGGTCCTTTGGTAGTTTTAGCTGGTTCTCCCAAAAACTGAAAATAGGGTTTAAAAAATGGAATGGAAGCTCCTGCAGTGGAAATTAGTTCAGAAAGTCTGTTTATTTCCAGTGTGCCAGTCATGTGGAAATACTCTTTTCAGTGGTTGCAGTTATGTGCTGTGCTGTATAGAAATTCCTCTGGAGAAGGAGTGAAAGTTTGGAATGTACAGGGTGAACTCTTGTGAAATCTAATTGTTTACCACAATGTAACATCCATATTTGCTCATTTTTAGTTGCTGTGAAATGATACGTACTATTATAATACGCACATGCTGACCTGCAGCCAGGAAGAGTTTGTGGCGTGCTTGAACACAGAAGCAGGGTCGTTTGCTTGCCGGCCTGGCTGCGTCATAGGATCCTGCTGCCTCCCTCTCCCGTGCTGCCAGGTCAGTGGGTTAGAGGTGAAAAAGCACCACCCTATGGGGACCACATATATACTGTAGCATGCACTAGAGCAGTCGTGACATACACATAGGATGTGACTTGGGCCATTGCTGGGAAGCAGTGAGCAAGGTAGCAGATGAAACCTTTGGATGAGTTCCTTGTCGTGTGCCTGCCCTTTTGATGGCCTTCCTTTTGCTTGCTTTCTCTTATTTCTGCAGTAAATACTGCAGTCCCTCCACCCCATCAACCTGTTCTGTGCTCTTTCATGCTGGTTGTTTTCTCTTGAACCAAGTTTAAGCTTTTACTTCCTATTTTAAGCTTTCCACTATCTGTCTGTGCTTTCTCATAATTTTCTTTCTGATTTATGGCTGCCTGTCTTTCCAAATCTGAAATCACTTCCTTTCTCCTTTTTACATTTTAATTATTGTTTTATCCCACTCTTCCTCCAAGGAGCTCAGGGTACATTATTTACCACCACCACCACCACATCCTCATAACAACCCTGTGAAGTAGGGCTGATTCTACCAGATCACACATTGAGTTTCATTGTTAAGTGGGGATTTGAACGCAGCCCTAGCCAATTGTAACTACTGCAGTACGCTGGCACTCCAAATGGATGCCTCTTTCTGCTACCTGCACCCTACTTCTGTAACTGACTCCTGTTGTGCTTTCCTATTCTTTTAAGAAAATGAGAAAAACAAAAAGGAAAACAGGCCTACTTGTTCTTCTAAGACTCTCAAGATGGTCTGCTTCTATTTCCCTGTCGTTTTGTCACATCGTTTTAAAAATATAAACTTGCAGCTCGGACCATGTATAGTAATCAAATCAATGTTGGATTTACTACCTTCACATTCCTTTATTGTCCTATTATATTGCTTAGCAACTTTAAAGTATAAACCGATACATTTTAAATAAAGCATCCAGCTGTGAGTACTGTACTACAAGACTGAAGCTGCAATCCTGCACGGATTCATCTAAAGCCCCATTTAACCCAGGCTTATCTCTGAATAAATAGGTCTGGGATTGTGCTGCAAGAAGACACTGAATTCTGTCTGTATGAAAGAATCAGCAATGGTTCTTTGGGTTTATGGGGGGGGGGGATGGCGGTATTCTGAATGCCTCCTGCATAGCACTATGTCCAGCAAGGCTGGCAGAGAACAGATCACGATCCTGGGACACCAGCCCAGAAGGGAGGAAAATCTTGTAAGAAGAAATGATGCCCAAAGCAGCCCTTAGAGCCAATGTTAATTTGGTGTTGTAGTGTAAGACCAAATGGCTCACCTTCGCTGCATTATTTACAATTAAAATATCGAGGGGTTCATTGCCCCAGGATGCTTACAGCACGAACTGAGCTGACTTCAGTTTTGTATGGTCTGAATCAGCCTTTAATAGCCTGGTGTCTTACTGGTGCATTGGATTACGACGTCCATCATTTCCAGTCACTGTGTCTATGCTCAGAATTATAAGAGTTGTATTTTAATTCACCTGGAGGGCACCAGTGTGGGGTACATTGGTTTTAATGTTTTACAACATCTGTGGTCCACTGCATGCCAAACTTATGAAACAAGAATACTTACAGTTACTTGAAACAACCATGGCAGAGCTAATCTGTGATCCTGAGTGTGCAACCTTGTTTAAAAGAACATAAGTGCCTTGGTGGATCAGAATCAGACCAAGGTCTGCCTACTTCAGCATCCATTTCAAGAAACCTAGCAGTCCATCAAAAGTTGGCCAGTGGACTCAGTATTTCTAGGACAAAGTGCTTCATCACTGCACTGCTTGCTAAAATGAAAGGGGCATTTTCCCACATAGTGTTTTGAAGTTTAAGCCTTACATTAGTACACAGATCTTTTCCATAATGTTTGTTGTGTAATTCTCAGCAGCTGCCAAAAGTACATTATCAATGTTTGCTATCTGTATTAGTCAAATGACAACTGTGCTTTAAATTCCAAAGAATGTAATTTCAATAAATCACATTTGTTCAAGATCTGCATTTCGTATTGGAAGTACCTCATTGTGAGAACACAAAGCCAGAATAATGTTCTCCTCTACTCAGTCTACTTGCATTTGCTTAGTTATTTTCATTGTTTCCTTTGTAATTCCACCTGTGTTAAGAAAGGTCTCACAGTAATCCCTGGCAGGCAGAAAAATAGGCACCACTTAATACCTAGCACATGTGTATAGTGCTTTATGGTGCGATACTGTGTTACTTTATGCTGAAATAAATCCCATTGAGATCAATGGGAATTCAGTTGGCCAAGGTAAGTGTGAACTGCCATCCTTTCCAGCCTGGTGGCCTCTGGGTGGTCAGACCAATGCCTTAGCTGGTTGGGCATGAGGAGAGTTGCAGCCTTGGAGGCATCGGGTTGTAGTCATCTGGTACATCAGCCTTCACCTTTTGGCTCATGAAGCTGTGTCAAAGACCCACTCTTAGGTCAAAGCTGTAAGGCAGAAGCACGTATCGTCATTCTGGGATTGTCCATGAGGAAAAGAAGGCACAGTGGCATTCCTAGAGCTACCTGATGAGATTATGGCAGAAGCAAAGTTAGATCCAGGAAAGGACTGGGAATCCCCAGCAGTCAGGCTCCTACCCACTAAGCTGCGCTTAACAAAGGCCTCAGGGGGGTGAACAATTGACATTCACCCCACGCTATTCTTAAGTGTCTCCATGTGCTCCTCATACATACTTGGAATCTTGCGCTGCTGTGGCAACGATAACTAGTGGCTTTTTCAGAAACTGCTGTCCAAGGTTTATTGCTTTGTTTCATTTCTATATTGCCCATTAGCCAAAACTCTCTGGATGGTTTACAAGATGAAGCTTAAAACCACAAAGTGCAATAACTCAGTAAAATGTAATATATAGCAGTACATTTAAAACAGAATAAAACCAAAGGAGTCACCAAGATAAAAGCCAGTAGTGAACAAATTTCCAGGTCATGGCAAATGTCCTTCATTACCATTCCATACAAACCAGGTAAAAATCCTGGGAAGACAGATTCTTATTTTCCAATTAACTTCTTTGATCGAGACCTAATCTTTACAAGTATCTTGGCAGAAATACTTGTAAAGCCAAATAGTACCAAAAGCCAAGTAGTACCAAGTTATCTGGCAACAGACCAGTTCTGTTTCATCAGGCTCTGTAATACTGCAAAACAAAACAGATGCAATTTGAATATAATCCACTTTACAAAACTAAGAATAAATCGCTATACTCCATAATATCATTATATGGTGCAAAAGCATTCAGCAAAGTTGAGTGGAGCATCCTAGTTGAGTTATGCAAACAGATGGCACTGCATTACAAATTTTGTAAGTGCTTCTGCCAACTATATTCCCCCACCCAGGCAATAATTAGGACAAATGGTCTGGATTCTCACTCTTTTTGGATTAACAGGAGGCAATAAACGGGTATTCCTGAAGAGGTTTGCAGTAGAACTTCTTGCTAATCTATTTCTTGCTTTGCCAGGTACAGAATGTTATCTCTATCAACTTGCAATCGACTCTTATCAATTCTTTTCTTATGATATAACAGTGATACTATTGAAACCCCCATATAGTTTGAAAAGGCTATATAGGTAATTAAACTGATTGAGGGATCAAGCACTCTGTGCATGAATATGGATGCCCAATAACCATCAAGATTGGGAAAACTCTCTGGCATATCCCTTGGTATTGAAAAGTTGAAATATTTAGTGACAATTATACCAACAGATGTGTAAAAAGTATGAAACAATTATCAGGGATATTGAACAAAAAATGAATCAATAGTTTATTTTTTAGACTAATAAGTCCTTATCTTCATGGGGGATTGGAATGCTAAAGTAGGAAGCCAAAAGATAACAGAAGTTTGGCCTTGGAGTACAAAATGAAGCAGGGCACAGGCTGGTAGAATTTTTGTCAAGAGAATATGATTGTCATAGCAAACACTCTTTTCCAAAAACCCAAGAGATGACTCTACACATGGATATCACCAGACGGGCAAGACAGAAATCAGATTGACTATGTGCTCTGCAGCCAAAGATGGAGAAGCTCTATACAGTCAGTAAAAACTAGACCAGGA